AAACGGGATTTCGGCACGAAGAGCAATGGGTGGAACGTGGGGAGGGGGTTGGGGGTGGGGGTTTGAACCCATGAACCCATGGCAAAACCCTTTTCCTTCGTGAAATCTGAGCGGGTGAAACGTGGGGGTCGGTGCTGGGCGGCGCGGGGCTCCTCTGAGCGCCGAGGGCTCGGAGCTGCGCTGCCATTGCAGGCGGGCAGCGGGGGAGGAGCGGCGTGGGCTTATCCTGAAGGGCTGCTCTGTGACTCCTGGCGTCCCCTGATTCCCTTCTGTCCCCCCCCAGACCATCGCTGACATCATCCGGACGTGCCTGGGGCCGAGGGCGATGATGAAGGTGAGTGCTGCTGCCGTCCCTGCTGCGCCCTGGCTGAGCGCTGCGCGTCGGGGCGTCCTCACCAGCAGAGCTCATCTTCGGGTTGCAGATGCTGCTGGACCCCATGGGAGGCATTGTGATGACCAACGATGGCAATGCCATCCTGAGGGAGGTGAGTGCCTCCGGGAGGGAGGGCACGGCGGCTGGGGTTGGGGTTGGGGTTGGGGTTGGGGTTGGGGTTGGAGGATCAGCAGCGGCCATGGGGTTCTCAGTGGGGGGGCATTGAATGATCCTATACAGCGTTCCTCCTCCAGGAGGGGGGTTTGGCCCTCCAGGAGGGGGGTTTGGCCCTCCAGGAGGGGGGTTTGGCCCTCCAGGAGGGGGGTTTGGCCCTCCAGGAGGCGGGTTTGGCTCTCCAGGAGGTGGGTTTGCTCACAGAGCGCTCACTGAGCTCCTGTAGGACCACAGGGGTTGTGGTTGTGCCCACTGCGGTTGTCATCGGAATCTGAGGAGTCCACGCTTTGTTTTACTGCCCTGGATAAATAGGCCAAGAAATTGTTGGGTTTGTTTTAACGCAAATGGCACCGGAAGAGCATCGTAGGGATTGGAAAGGGCTGGAAAGCTGGGGGAGAGGAATGGTGTGATTCCCTTGGAAATAAGGGAGGGATTTTGTGCTTGGAAAGGGGAAAGGAATTTCTGTTTGCTCCCAGAAGGAAAGCAAATCTCTGTGCTGCGGTTGCGCAGAGCAGCTCGGCTCGCTGGGAGCGGTGCTGAGATCCCAGAGCACAGAGCAGCATTTACCCCCTGCAGATCCAAGTGCAGCACCCCGCTGCCAAGTCCATGATTGAGATCAGCCGCACTCAGGACGAGGAGGTCGGGGACGGGACCACGTCTGTCATTATCCTTGGTAAGGGGGGCACAAAACCTCCCCTGAGGTTTATTGTGTGCGTAGCAAAGCCGGCTGGGGACGCCTTGCGGGAGACCCGGCTGTTATTTGCAGCCCTAAAACTGGGGTTTGGGGATTTGAAAGGAGAGGAGCGGTGGGTCAGAGCTGTCGGTGGGGCTCGGTGCTGGCAGAGCTGTGCTGTCCCTGCGTGGAGCACAGTGATGCTGTGGGAGCACAGGGACCCTAACGCTGGACCCCCACCCGCAGCTGGAGAGATGCTCTCTGTTGCTGAGCACTTCCTGGAGCAGCAAATGCACCCAACCGTCATCATCGGCGCTTACCGCAAGGCTCTGGACGACATGATCCACGTCCTGAAGAAGATCAGGTCAGTGCACCTGGGTCAGGGAGCAGCTGAAGTGCCGTGGCGTCCATAAATGTGTGGGTCCCGATGGGATGCACCCATGGGTGCTGAGGGAGCTGGCAGACGTTGCTCAGCCACTTTGGTAAGTGGTGGGGGATGGGAGAGCTGCCTGAGGAGGGAAGGAGAGCAAATGTCAGTCCAGCCTTCGCAGAGGAGCTGGGTAGCTGTAGAGTATCAGACCACCTCCATCCAGCTGGGAGCCCGGATCCAACGGGGTCCCTCGGGTCGGTGCTGGGATCAGTGCTGCTCGGTGCACACAGCAGCAACGGGGGGGAGGAAATCGAGTGCATCGGAGGTGGTGGCCCGGAACTGGGAGGAGAGGCCGACAGGCAGAGGGCTGTGCTGCCACCCAGGGACAGCCGGGCAGGCTGGAGAGCCGGGGAGAGAGGGGATGAGGTGGAGCAGGGGCAGCGTAGAGCCCGGTGTGTGGACAGGAACGGCTGGGTGCCGGAACGCGTTGGGAAGCGGGGTGCTGGAGAGCAGCGGAGGGGAGAGGGACCTGGGGGTGGTGGTGGGCAGCGGGAGGACAGGAGGCAGCCAAGAAGGCTGAAGGCGCCCCGAGGCGCCTTAGAAGGGGGCTGCAGGAGGTCCAGGGAGGTTCTCCTCCCTCTCCGCACCCGGTGTCCACCAGCGCCTCCCATTTCGGTGGCTCTGCTGTGCCAGGCCGCCTCAGCCACGCCTTCCGGCGCAGCCTGCCGTCCCTCCCGGCGCTGGGCAGGACCCCTCTGTCGGTGCCCTCTGTTGTTCTCAGGCCGTTGCCGCGTCCCGCAGCAACTGCAGCGCTCGCTTCTGTGCAGCGGTTGCTCCGGCGCTCCGTCTGTCCTGCAGCTCCTGCGGCGCGGCGCCTTTTTCGTGCCGCTCCTTCGCATCTCCGTGCTCACGCAGGCAGAGCCGCGAGGCAGAACGCGGCGCGGTGCTGCTGCCGGCCCTCGCTCGAGCAGGAGGACGTCTGTGCCGACAGCCGGGCCGTTGGGCGGTGCGGGCTGGGAGGAAAGCGCTGTGCTCGGCCCTTCCAGGAGGCTGCTTTGGGAATCCTGCTCCCCATAGGTGCATCTGGTGCCGCCCTGGTGCCGTCCGTCAGCATCGGGCGTCGCAGGCAGTTCATCCCTTGGCTTTTCTTCGTTGCTCTCCGTTCTGTTCGGTTTTTCAGCCGCTTCCGCAAAGGCTGCGACACGAACTCGCAGAGGGGCTGAATGTCATCGAAGCCTTGAAGCTTTATTAATCGGCTCATTTATGAGGGCTCTTCTTTCCCCTCTGCCCTCGCTGCTGCCGACGTGGCGGCGTAGCTTTGCGCTGTTTAAAAATGCAAACGAGTGGTTTAAAAAGCAGCCAAAATCACAGCATCACAGAATTGTAGGGGTTGGAAGGGAGCTGCAGAGATCATCGAGTCCAACCCCCTGCCAAAGCAGTTCCTACAGCAGTCGCACAGCTCGGCATCCAGGCAGGTCTGGAACCTCTCCAGAGCAGGAGACTCCACCACCTCCCTGTGCAGCCTGTTCCAGTGCTCCTCACCTCACTGTACAGAAGTTCTTGCACATATTTGTGCACAATTTCCTGTGCTCCATTTCCGGCCGTTTCCCCTCCTCCTGTCTCCACTCCCCACTGAACAGAGTCCATCCTCGCCGTGCTGCCCCCACACCTCAGATATTCACAGACCTGGATCAGCTCCCCTCTCAGTCTCCTGTTCTCCATGCTGAACAGACCCAGCTCACTCAGCCTCTCCCCATAGCAGAGATGCTCCAGGCCCCTCGCCATCTTCCTGGCCCTGCGCTGTTCTGTTCCCAAGAGCTCCCTGTCTGTTTTGTGCTGGGCAGCCCAGAACTGGACGCAGGGCTGCAGGTGAGGCCTCACAGGACAGAGCAGAGGGGGAGCATCGCCTCCCTCCACCTGCTGGCCATGCAAGGCACCCCAGGACGCCATGTTGGGCACCCTGCTGCCCCATGGCAACCTGTCGTCCACCAGGACACCCAGGTCAAAATAACGGAGCAGAGCCAGCAGTGCAGAAATGACTGATTGCAGGCAGGAGGGCTCTGTGCAGCTCCGGCCAGAGCCACCACACAGCAGGTCCTTCAGTTTCTTGTCCTTACAAAGTCCAACCCCATCCAGCAAGGCTCTCTTGCACCCCCTGCTCCTTTGGGTGTCAGCAGTCCTTGTGGGTGATGCCATGGCTTTGGAGCAGCCTGCCTCTCTCAGGATCCTGCTCCTGCTCTGGCTCGTCAGCAATGAAAGTGGGGCTCTGTAACATTTCCACCACGCTGCGCTCTCCATTCTGTTTGTTTTTTCAGCCACTTCTGCAAAGGCTGCGACACGAACTCGCAGAGGGGCTGAATGTCATCGAAGCCTTGAAGTTTTATTAATCAGCTCATTTATGAGGGCTCTTCTTTCCCCTCTGCCCTCGCTGCTGCTGACATAGCAGCATAGCTTTGTGCTGCAGCCCTTGTGGATGGCAGCATGGCTTTGGTGCTCTCTCAGGATCCTGCTCCTGGTCTGGCCTTCATGGTGGAAGGGTGGCGCTGAGCTGCCCAGAGAGCCCAGGTTGGGCCGGGTGACCTTTCCAGGTCTCTCCCAATGCCCGACATCCGTGCTTCTATAGAGGTGGTGAGGAGGGCTGTGGGTTCTGCACAGCCCAGAGGGGTTTGCTTTGATAAAACACAGAGCTGGGGGGGGGTGGCACAAATTACAGCTCAGCTGTGGCTTGGAGCAGCGCTGGCTTGGCTGCTCAGCCCTTCCTGTCCCACAGCACCCCGGTGGATGTGAACAACAGAGAGATGATGCTGAAAATCATCAAGAGCGCCATAAACACCAAAGCCATCAACCGCTGGTCCGAGCTGGCCTGCAGCATCGCTCTGGACGCCGTCAGGACGGTGGAGCTGGAGGAAAATGGCCGAAAGGAGATCGATATCAAGAAATACGCCAAAGTGGAGAAGGTGAGTGCTGAGCTGCTGCCTCTGGGTGCTGCTGTGCTGGGTGGGAGATGCTGGGATGCTGAGGGGGGAAGTAACTGGGGTCTGCTGCTCAGCCTGCTCTGCTGTTCCGTCCTCTTCGGTGCTGTCAGCTATGAGCTCATGTTATGGGTTGCGTGTGCTGAGTGGGCAGCTTTGGGGCAGCTTTGGGGGCAGCTTTGGGGGCAGCTTTGGGGGCAGCTTTGCGTGTGTTTTGGGAGCGCAGCCGTGCAGCTGTGGTGCTGCAGGTGGATCTCGGCACGTCTCCCTTCTCTCTGTCAGATCCCAGGTGGTTTCAGCGAGGATTCGTGTGTGCTGCGTGGCATCATGGTGAACAAGGACGTGACGCACCCCAGGATGCGGCGCCTCATCAAGAACCCCCGCATCGTGCTGCTGGATTGCTCGCTGGAGTACAAGAAAGGAGAGAGCCAGGTGAGCGGGATGGCGGGGCTGGGCCGATGTTAATTGCTGTTAATTGCACGGGTCTCATTAGCAAAAATTCCAGCTCTACCAGCGCTCCCCCAGAGGTGGGGTAGGGGAACGGGTCGGCCATGAGGCAGCAGGGTGCCCAACATGGCGTCCTGGGGTGCCTTGCATGGCCAGCAGGTGGAGGGAGGCGATGCTCCCCCTCTGCTCTGCCCTGTGAGGCCTCATCTGCAGCCCTGCGTCCAGTTCTGGGCTGCCCAGCACAAAACAGACAGGGAGCTCTTGGGAACAGAGCAGCGCAGGGCCAGGAAGATGGCGAGGGGCCTGGAGCATCTGTGCTATGGGGAGAGGCTGAGTGAGCTGGGTCTGTTCAGCATGGAGAACAGGAGACTGAGAGGGGAGCTGATCCAGGTCTGTGAATATCTGAGGTGTGGGGGCAGCACGGCGAGGATGGACTCTGTTCAGTGGGGAGTGGAGACAGGAGGAGGGGAAACGGCCGGAAATGGAGCACAGGAAGTTGGGCAGCACTGTGCGAAGGAACGGCTGTGCAGTGAGGGGAGGAGCGATGGAACAGGGAGGGGGGGAGTCTGTGGGTCCCAACGTGTCTCTATGGGTCCCAATGGGTCTCTATGGGTCCCAATGTGTCTCTATGGGTCCCAACGTGTCTCTGTGGGTCCCAATGTGTCTCCATGGGTCCCAACGTGTCTCTATGGGTCCCAATGTGTTTCTATGGGTCTCAACTTGTCTCTATGGGTCCCAATGTGTCTCTATGGGTCACAGTGGATCCCAATGTGTCTCTATGGATCCCAATGGATCCCAACATGTCTCTATGGGTCCCAACGTGTCTCTATGGGTCCCAATGGGTCCCAATGTGTCTCTATAGGTCCCAACGTGTCTCTATGGGTCCCAATGGGTCCCAATGTGTCTCTATAGGTCCCAATGTGTCTCTATGACTCCCAATGTGTCTCTATGGGTCCCAATGGGTCCCAATGTGTCTCTATAGGTCCCAATGTGTCTCTATGGGTCCCAATGGGTCCCAATGTGTCTCTGTGGGTCCCAATGGGTCCCAATGTGTCTCTATGGGTCCCAATGGGTCCCAATGTGTCTCTATAGGTCCCAATGTGTCTCTATGGGTCCCAATGGGTCCCAATGTGTCTCTGTGGGTCCCAATGGGTTCCAATGTGTCTCTATGGGTCCCAATGGGTCCCAATGTGTCTCAACGTGTCCCTATGGGTCCCAATGTGTCCCTATGGGTCTCAACATATCTCTATGGGTCCCAATGTGTCTCTATGGGTCCCAGTGTGTCTCTATGGGTCCCACTGCTCACTGGAACAGGCTGCCCATGGAGGTGGTGGAGTCTCCTGCTCTGCAGATGTTCCAGACCTGCCTGCATGCCGAGCTGTGCGACTGCTGTAGGAACGGCTGGGCAGGGGGTTGGACTGCATGAGCTCTGCAGCTCCCTTCCAAGCCCTGCCATTCTGTGATGCTGTGACTCGTGAGCTCGGGGCCGGGCTCTGAGCGATGCTTCTCTTCCCCTGCAGACCGACATTGAAATTACACGGGAGGAGGACTTTGCGCGCATCCTGCAGATGGAGGAGGAATACATCCAGCAGATCTGCGAGGACCTGCTGAGGGTGAAGCCCGACCTGGTCATCACCGAGAAGGGCATTTCGGGTAACGGCGTCGCACCCCCTCCTTTAGCGGCCCCCATTGCGTTGTGAGGGCGCTGCCCACCCCTGACCGGGGCGCACGCGTCGCTTTCAGACCTGGCCCAGCACTACCTGATGAGAGCCAACATCAGCGCCGTCCGCAGGGTGAGGAAGACGGACAACAACCGCATTGCCAGGTGAGGTTCATCCCGCTGCAGGGCGCTCCCTGGGGGCGCTGCTGGCAGTTGTCACCCCGTGACGTCCCCCTCCGTCCCCATCTTTGAGCAGGGCCTGCGGGGCCCGCATCGTCAGCCGCACCGATGAGCTGCGGGAGGAGGACGTGGGCACCGGCGCCGGGCTGTTCGAGGTGAAAAAGATTGGAGATGAGTACTTTGCCTTCATCACCGAATGCAAGGACCCCAAAGCCTGCACCATCGTCCTGCGTGGGGCCAGCAAGGAGATCCTGGCGGTGAGTTCTGCCCTCCGTGCCTGGCGTCAGTCATTGCTGATGTTGTTGTCAGCGGTGGTAGTTCCATGCACTGCCTGCCTCCCCAGCCGGGCTCCTGCCTCCCCAGCCGGGCTCCTGCCTCCCCAGCCGGGCTCCTGCCGCCCCAGCCGGGCTCCTGCATCAGCACTCTGCATTCAGTACTGCTGTTCTTCCTCCCCCCGCTGCAGGAGGTGGAGCGCAACCTGCAGGACGCCATGCAGGTGTGCCGCAACGTGTTGGTGGACCCCCAGCTGGTGCCAGGAGGAGGGGCTGCAGAGATGGCCGTGTCCCACGCGCTGACGGAGAAGTCCAAAGGCATGACGGGGGTGGAGCAGTGGCCCTACAGAGCCGTGGCGCAGGCGCTGGAGGTCATCCCACGCACGCTCATCCAGAACTGCGGTGCCAGCACCATCCGTGTGCTCACCTCGCTGCGGGTGAGGCGCCTGGCTCCTGTGGGGCAGCTCCTCCGGTCTGCTTCTGCTGCCCCGTGGCTCCTGTGGGGCAGCTCCTTTCCCCTGCTCCTGTGGAGCTCTTCCTCCTGCCCCCCCAGCTCCCATGGAGGCTGATCCTTCCTCCCCCCAGGTCCTGTAGGGCACCTCCTTCCACCCCACCGGCTCCCGGGGGGTCGCTTCTCCTGCCCCCAGGTTCCTATGGGGCTGCTCCTTCCTCCCTCTGGTTCCTATGGGGCAGTTCCTCAGGCTGAGCCTGCAGCTCTTGAGCAGTTGCAGCGTTCTTTTGCGTGGTCGCAGTGCTGTAGGGGTTGGCAGGGACCACTGGAAGACCCCCTTTCCCCCCTGCTTAAAGCAGGTTCCGTGCACCAGAAGTAGCCCGGTGGGCTTGGATCTCTCTGGGCTCAACTGAGATGGAGCTCCCAGGTTCCAGTTTGGTGGAGGGACCCACAGAATCATAGAATGGACCCCAAGGATCAGCCCCTCCAACAGCAGGGGTTCCAACCCCTCTGCCTGCTGCAGCTGTCGGGATTGCAGTTGTACCGCAGCCGAATGTGGAATTCAGTGCTTTGTTTCAACGATGAACCCCTGGGGGTGGGCAGGGCTCAAAGCTTCCTCTGTCAGTGCTGAGGTTGGGAGAGGCGAGCGCTCACCTTTCCCTCGTGCTCAGCAACCTCTCTGCCCTCCCTGCAGGCCAAGCACACCCAGGAGGGCAGCCAGACGTGGGGGGTGAACGGGGAGAGCGGAGCCTTGGCTGACATGAAGGAGTTGGGGGTCTGGGAGCCCCTGGCCGTCAAACTGCAGACCTACAAAACGGCCGTGGAGGTGAGGAGGGGGGGGGAGTGAGGGGGGACGACGACGAGTGTCTGCTGTGTCTCCTTCTGGGCAGGGAACGTCACTGCTTGGTGCAGGATGAGCGCTGGGAGGGCAGCACAGCACGGCGCAGCTCAGCTCTGCGGTGCCTTCAGTTTCAGCCCAGCGTGAGCGTTTGCTCCCTGGGGTTGGGTCACCGCTGGGGGCTGCCGTCCTTTCCTGGCGGTTGGGTGGAAACGTTGATGCTCGCAGCTGCTGCTCTGCGGGATGAGGGCTGCCCTTGTGTGCTTCCATCCCTCGCTTTTTGCTCTGACTGTGGGCTTTCCCTGCAGACCGCCGTCCTCCTGCTCCGCATCGATGACATCGTGTCGGGACACAAAAAGAAAGGCGAAGAGCACAGCAATGCGCCAGCACCCACTGAAGCAGCCCAGGAGTAGTGGGGCCGTGGGGCCACATCTGGGGCTGCTGTTTCCCCCCCCCCTCCCCCATCCCGAGTTGGAGCAAAGGGTCCCAAAGTCAATTGCCCGAAGTTTGGGGGGTGGGATGGGAACGTGGTGACGGGGACACACAGTGCCTGGGCACGGGGGGGAGCTGTTGGTGTTTAATTTAAGTCTGTAATTCCTTGCAGTTTGCCTCAACAATAAAAGGCATCGCACCCCGCGGGGCTCCATTGTGAACAGCCGTGAGCTGTCTGTCCCCGAGCCCCGTCTGCTCCCCTCCCTCCGTCTCTGCCATCTGTCCCCCATTTCACGTGTCCTCGTGTCCCCTGCCTGCTCCCCATCTCTCCTGCTCCGCATCCGCTCCCCATTACCCCGTTTTCTGAGCTGCCTTTCAGCCGCCTTTGGCTCCCCGTACTGAAGTTGTTGTAGGGAGTTTTAGCCCCGTTTCTCAGCAAGGCTCTGCGCTCGGCGGGTGAACGGTGCGCACCCGGAGGGTCCTCTACCTCCCCACCTCGGGAGGGGAGCGGCTCCTTTAAGAGCGTCCTCTTCCGGGAGGCGCGGCACCTTGGGGGGGGCGGTCACGTGATGTTCTGCACCGGAAGGAGAATGGCGGCGCCGGCGCTGGGCGCGCTGCTGCTGCTGCTGCTGCTGGGGGCGGCGGCGGTCGGCGGACGGGAGGTACGGGAGGGGGGGGCGGCGATCGGTCGGTCCGTCCGTCCGTCCTTCCTTCCCTTCCCTTCCCAGCGGGGAGCGCTGAGCCGGGAGGCGGTGACATTCGAGGCCTTTCGTCCTCCCCGATCCCGCGAATCGCGGCGCCCGTCCGTCCGTCTGTCCGTCCCTGCCTCGGTCCGTCTGTCCCTTCTTCTGTCCGTCCTTGCCTCGCTCTGTTCCTGCCTCAGTCCTTCCATCTGCGCCTTCATCCATCCCTGTCCTGCCTCCCTCCTTTCCTTCCTGTGTGCAGCCCTGCCTCTGTCCCTGCCTTGTTCTGTCTCTACTTCTGTCTGTCCATCCCTACCTCTGTCCATCTGTTCCTGTCTCCATCCACCCCTCCCTCGGTCCGTCCCTACTTCGGTCCGTCCCTACTTCTGTCCATCCCTGCCCCCATGCATCCCTACCCCAGTCTGTCTGTCCCTCCCTTGGTCCATCCATCCCTCCCTGCCTCTGTCCATCCGTCCCTACATCTGTCCATCCCTGCCTCCATCCCTCCCTCCCTCAGTCCGTCTGACCCTACCCCTGTCTGTCCCTACCTCCATCCATCCCTTTCTCGTTACACCCATCCCTACCCCAGTCTGTCTGTCCCTCTCTTGGTCCATCCATCCTTCCCTCAGTCCATCTGTCCCTACATCTGTCCATCCCTACCTCCACCCATCCCTCTCTCAGCACATCCACTGCTACCCCAGTCTGTCTCTCCCTTGATCCATCCATCCCTCCCTTGGTCCGTCTGTCCCTACACCCCTACCTCTCTCCATCCCTGCCCCTGTCTGTCTGTCCATCCCTACCTCGGCCCATCCATCCCACAGGTATCAATGCAGTACAACCCCGGTTGGAACGGTTCCTCAGTTTCCTCGGTCAACGTTCTGCACGTGCGAGCGGTGGGACGCGGCGACTCGCTGCACTACGTGTGGAGCAGCATCGGGGCCCCCTCGGTGCTGCTGGTGGCCACAAGCAGCCCCAGCAGCGCTCTGTCCATCGACTGGAGCCGCCTGCTGTCCCCTGCGCCCGCCGGCGCCGTGTGGATCGAGCCGCCCGGCAGCGTGGTGCACGCGGCTGCTGTTGTCTTCACCAAGGTATGGGTGGGAGGAGAGGAGCCCCAGGTGTGCGGGGTGCTGGTGGGTCCCCTCTTCCTGCTCCTGAATGAGTCCTGCAGCCCCAACGCCACGCGGAGCCGCGCGGTGATGCGGGGTTGGGTGAGGAGGAGTCCCTGCTCTGAGATGCCTCAGCTGGAGGTGGAGTTCTCAGTGCAGGGGAGACGGTTGGAGGGCCGCAGAAATGAGGGCTGGGATGGAATCCCCCCCCCCCAACTACTGCAGGTGGGGAGCTGAGGTTGTGCTGCCTGGAGAGGAGAGAGTTCTGGAGAGCTGAGAGCTGCCTGCAGGATGGAAGGGTGGGAGAGGGACGGGCTCTGCAGCAGGGCAAGGAGCAGAGGGGGGAGGTGGTTCCAGCTGTGTGGAGGTCTTCCCAGCAGTGGGGAGGCCGTGACACAAGGCTGCATGGATGCATACAGAAGCTGTGTGCTCCATTCCAGCAGAGCTGAGGTTGGGGATGGGGCTGTGAGCACTGGGGGGGGGGGGGCTGTGGGTGTCCCTGCTCACTGCTGAGGGAGAGCAGACAGCCTCTGGGGGTCCCAACAGTAATTCCCAGAGACGTGAAGAGATGACATCCGGAGCATCTCCTGTGCTGCAAACCAGGGGGGGTTGGCAGGGGTGAGAAGGGGACCATAGTGTGGGGAGGAACAATTGCATACAATGGTACAGGTGGGGCTGAGCTGCTGCAGGGGGGCCCTGCAGAAAAGGTCCTGGGGGTCCCGGTTGACCACGAGCCAGCGGTGTGGCACCAGCTCTGGTGGCCCCGAAGGCCAGTAGTGTCCTGGTTGGCTGACAGATGACCAGTGGTTGCCCACGAGCCACCCGTGTGCCTCGGTGGCCCAGAAGGCTGATGGCTCCCTGGGGGCACAGCCTGCAGAAGGGCCAGCAGGGCTGGGAGGTGCTGCTCTGCTCTGCTCTGCTCTGCTTGAGGAAGGCACAGCCGGAGCAGCGGGCAAACCGGGAGCTGCAGGGAGAGCCCTGAGGAGGGTGCAGAGCTGACCGGGGTTTTGAGCGCTGCCTGCTGGCAACGGGCCGAGAGCCCCGGGGAGCGACGGCTGGGGGGGGTCTGAGCGGTGCCGACGGATATCAGAAGAGCAGGGGGTCCCTGCGGTGCTTCCCAGCCCCCTCCCCTTCCTTCCCGCAGCTGTTTGAGTACAGCAAGGCCGATGCCTCGGAGGCGGTTTTCTACCCCTCGTACGATCTGTCGGACTTCTCCTGGGACAGCATCAACCGCACCGTGAACCACACGGCGCTGACGGCCGAACTTCGCGGCGTCCCCAACTCCGATCCCGGCGGCAGCTTCTCCAACGGCAGCCTGGCGTTCCGGGTACGGCCGGCGGGACGGGGACACCGTTCCGGAGAAGGGACGTCGCTCCCTGCCGTCCCTCTGACCCACACCTCCCCCAGGTGACGGCTTATGGAAGCGGCGGGCGCGACGGAGCGCCGCCCGGCCTCCTGCACACGGCCAACAGCTCCAAAGTGGAATTCGTCCTGGCCGGGGCGGCCCCGCGGGGCAACGGCTCGCGCTTTGTGCTGGAGGTGACCACGGTGCAGGAGAGAGGGGCGGCATCCAGGCTGCGCTCGGCGCGCTCCATCGACGACGAATACACCCCCACCATCTTCGAGGTGAGCGCGGGGTGGGCGCCGTCCCTTCGGTGGCAGTGAGGGCGCAGGGGTGGGGTGCGGTGTCCCCGACCACGGCTCGTAGAATCATAGAGTCACAAGGTTGGAAAAGAACCGTGAGATCGTCCGGTCCAACCGCCCTGCCGTCACCTCTGCCGCCAGCAGCACCAAACCGCATCACGCAGCTCCTCCTCCAGGCGCCTCTTGAGCGCTGCTGCCAGGGACGGCGGCTCCCCCACCTCCCTGGGCGGCTGTTCCACGCCTGACCGCTGAGAGAAAAAGTTCCTCCTCGCGTCCAACCCGAACCTCCTCTGCTGCGACCTGCGGCCGTTTCCTCGGGTCCTGTTTGGTACCTGGGAGAAGAGGCCAAAGCCCTCCTCACCCCAGCATCCCTTCAGGCAGCTGCAGAGCGCAGTCAGGTCTCCCCTGTGCTCCTCTTCTCCACGCTGAACAACCCCAGCTCCCTCAGCCGCTCCTCATCTTTGTGCTCCAGACCCCTCACCATTTCCTTGCCCTTCTCTGCACGCTGCAGGGCTTCAAATGTCTTTCCTGCAGTGAGGAGCCCAAAACTGAACACAGCACTGGAGGTGCGGCCTCCCCAGAGCTGGGTGCAGGGGATGCTCACCTCCCTGCCCCTGCTGGCTGCACCGTTTCCAATGCAGGCCTGGATGCCGTTGGCCCTTTGGCCACCTGGGCACCCTGTGGGCTCCTGTTCAGCCCAGCATCAACCAGCACCCCCAGCTCCTTCTCTTCTTCACACTCATCCAGCCGCTCATCCCCAAGCCTGCAGCGCTGCATGGGGTTGTTGTGCCCAAAGTGCAGCAGCCGACACTTGGCCCTGCTGAACCTCATCCCGTTCACCTCAGCCCAGCCTGTCTGAATCCCTCTGCAGGGCCGCCCTGCCCTCAAGCAGATCCACACCACCTCCCAGCTCGGTGCCATCTGCAAACTGAGGGCGCCCTCAACGCCCTCATCCAGGTCATCAAGGGAGATATTAAAGGAGATGGGCCCCAGCACCGAGCCCTGGGCACCACTTGAAATGGGAAATGACATTGCACACCATGTGTGTATGTGTGACATTGCACACCATGTATGTGTGTGTGACATTGCACACCATGTATGTGTGTGTGACATTGCACACCATGTATGTGTGTGTGACATTGCACACCATGTGTGTATGTGTGACATTGCACACCATGTGTGTATGTGTGTCACATTGCACACCATGTGTGTATGTGTGACATTGCACACCATGTATGTATGTGTGACATTGCACACCATGTATGTGTGTGACATTGCACACCATGTATGTATGTGTCACATTGCACACCATGTATGTGCTGTGTCACATTGCACACCATGTATGTATGTGTGACATTGCACACCATGTATGTGTGACATTGCACACCATGTATGTGTGTGTGTGACATTGCACACCATGTATGTGCTGTGTCACATTGCACACCATGTATGTGTGTCACATTGCACACCATGTATGTGCTGTGTTACATTGCACACCATGTGTGTATGTGTGACATTGCACACCATGTATGTGCTGTGTCACACTGCACACCTCGTACGTTCCGTGTCACATCGCCGTTCCCCCTCCCCAGACGCTCTCGCTGGTGGCGGAGTCCCAGAACGGCAGCTCTGCCCTCAGCTTCCTGCAATGGAAGGCGACGGCGTACGGCTCACGGCACCCAACGCGTGCGGACGGCATCCAGTGCCACGCCGGAGGGCTGCGTGCTGCCAGCGACCCCCGGCTCCGCTCCGCCGTCGTCCGCGCCTACTTTGGGGACGGAGCGGGCGGCGCCTACAGCGTCAGCGCCATCAACGTCTCCTTCGGCGGCGAGGACGGCGGCGCTTACCAGGAGCAGCGCTACCTGAGCTGGTGAGAGCGGGGCTCTGGGCGGGGGGTTCCGCGCTCGCAGCCCCGCGGCTCTGCGTGCTTTGCTGCCCGCGGCAGTGCGGAGGTTTGCGCTGTTTCCTCACCGCCCGCTGGCCGTGGGATGGCGCCTCCTGCTCGGTGCAGCATCCTGCCGTGACGGCCTGAAAGCCACGGAGGGAACCACCGCTGAATCGCAGCACGCTTGGTGTTGGAAAGGACCCCATCGATCGCCTCGCTGCAGCCGCACTGCCGGCAGGGCCGGCTCCCAGCATACCGAGCCGCTCGGAGCCCCGTGGCCCCGGGGAGGGGACACCCACAGCCCCCCCGGTCCCCGTCCCCGGAACTGGGACGGGGAGACCCGTCCCAGCCTCTCCCCGCTCTCCCAGTGAAGAATTCCTTCCTAACATCCGTTCTCAACCAACCCTCTCGTAGTTTTCAGCCATTCCCCCTCATCCCGTCACTACGCAGAGCTCCGTGCAGCTGATCCGTCTCGCTCCCTGCTTGCAGGTCTGCGCTGCTGGGCTTCGGGCCGCCACCCGAGGACACTTTTTCTCCCCTCATCGTCTCCATCGCGGCCACAGCGCTGGGCGCCCCGCTGCTTCTGCTCCTGCTGGGCGCTGCCGCGTTGCTCTGTGCCAGGAGGAGACGCTACAGCGAATACGAGCCCATCAACTGAGCTGCCGCTCGGCCCGGGGAGCAGGGAGCGATCGGAGCTGCTGCCGTCTTCACTTCTGGGGGCACCGGCGGCGGCCCCCCCTCGTGCTGCCGTGCCACGTTCTGTGCTGCTGCCTGCGCTGAGGGCGGTGCTTCCTTTCTTTCTGATGCACGCTGCCAGGGGCTGAGATCCCCGGCATCCTCCTCCTTTGGGGGGCACCTCGTGCTGAAGGCTGCCGCTACGAGAGTCGGCTCAGGACCGTTCCTCCTGCTGGAGCCATCGGGAGACCCCGGCTGACAGCAGGAGCTGCCGCCCTTCCGCTTTTGCAGCGATGGTTGGTGGCAGTGCTGCCTCACCTCCGTGTCCTCAACCACTGACTCGTCTTTGACCAAATAAAAGGGATTCCTTTTATTTGCCTTCCTGGGGCAGCGCTGCACCGTGCGAATTCAGGGGCGGCTTTTGGTGCGGCCCGAACCCACGCCGGCAGCGAGCCGTTCCTGCTCACCTTCCACGCAGCGCCTCCCCGTGGGATGCGGGGCAGATCGGGGCCGAAGGGCTCTGCCTTTACGTGAGGGATGTGGAAGCGGAGCTGTGAAGGCCGGCAGCGGCAGCCCAGCTTGGAGGAGCTCAGCGCGGAGAGCTGCGGGGCGCCCCGGTGCGGCCGGACGCCGATTTGTCCCAGCGCGGCAGCCCCAAACCTTCGGCCGTTGAGCCGCTCCCCGGGGCAGGGCACCAGGCAGACCGGTTTGCGAGGCCGTGCTGAACCTCCGCCAGCAGGAAGGAGTGGAGGAGGGACGCTGGGTGGCGTCGGCCGCGCAACCACCAAGGACCGGGAGAATCCCCCCCCGCCCCCCATCCCCAAATCAGCCGCGGAGCCGTTCAGCTGAAGGGCTTTATTGGTCCCAGGAGGAGCTCTGGCAACCCCCGCCCTCATCCTGAGCTCACTGATCCTCCTGCTCCCCACCTCATGGGGGGTGCGCTGGGAGACCCACGGAAGAAGTGCAGCCCCGGGATCTGCCCCCCAACCCAGGGCTTGCAGGGAGGCTCAGCCCCAGTACCGCAGTCTGGCCCTGCTCTGCCGGGAGCTCTCCTCGGGCTTCGCCGTCGCCACGGCCAGGAGGTTCTCAGGCTCCAGGACAAACATGTTGTACAGGTTCCAGAGCAGCATGGCCAGGAGGGGCAGGAAGGTCATGGCGAAGCCGAAGGCGCGGAAGGAGCGTCCAAAGGCGTAGGAGAGCCAGTAGATCAGCCTGCAGGGGGGGCGGGGGGCTCAGCTCGGGGTGCTGGGCCCAATGAGAGCCTGCTGCGGGAAACGGGATGGGGCGAGGACAAAGCGGCCCTTCCCCGGTGTGGGCACGGCGCAGCTGTCTGTGAGCCGGATGTGGGGGAAGGAAATGCTTACCGGGAGATGGCAAAGAGCCCTGTGAAGAGGGGGATGAGCTTGAGGAGCTCCTGCTGGAGGTATGTGGCCAGCACGGCCACGTTGAAGAAGTAGAGGATGAAGAGTTGGACGGACTGGGAGACGTAGGTCCGATGGATCTCCACCTCCCGCTGCAGCTTTCCAAAAGGCTCCAGCGCCGAGGAGCAGAGGCGTGAGATGCCGCTGACGATCATCCCTGGGGGGGGGGGGAAAGAGAGAGGTGCGCTGGTGAGACGCAGCAGGGTGGGAGGAGCAGCGAAGAGCTCAGCCCCGGCTCTGCCCGCCGCCCCCTGGGTGACCCCCGCCCCCAGCACTCGGGCCCAGCAGCTCACCCAGGACGATGGGGACGGTGGCGAAGGCAGCGCAGCGCAGCGTGTAGACCAGCCGTGTGCTGACGGTGGGCAGGAGCGGCGCGTCGAAGGGCAGGAAGATGTAGGCGCCGTAAATGAGGCAGGGGCAGAGGAACAGAGCCCCCACCACCGAGGCCACAGCCTTGAGGGTGGCGCTGCTGCAGAGCCCGGCACAGGAGCGGCACGGCCCCTCGGCTGGCGGCTTGGCTGCTTGCCCCTCAAAGATCAGCGGGCCCCGGAAATGCGAGGGGCCGGCAGGGAGGAAGGCCTGCTTTGGGAGGACGCTGTTGGGTCCGTCCCTGGGGGGAACACAGCCCCCCCTGCCCTCCTCCCAGGGCTGCGGGATGGGCTGCTGCTTCTTCTTCTGCTCCCCGGGTGTCCGCTCGATGCAGTGGGGGTCAATGGGCACAAAGACGTGCGCTGCCATCACGGGAAGCCCGGGATCTCCCTCCCCATCAGCCTCAGGGGGGGGGCAAGCAGGAGTTCCCTCTTCAGGGTCATCATGGGCCCCCTCGGGGCTCGAGCGCCTTTTGGTCTCTGTGGGTTCCGGCTGCCCCCGCGCGCCATGCTGGCGCTGGTCCCACAGCAGGGTGGCATCAGGATCCCCGCGATGATCATCTGGGGCTGAAGGATCCGCATCTGGGGCCGCTTTCCCCAGCTCCAGCAGAGCCACCTCCTCCAGGGGCAGCGTGGGGTCGGCAGCAGCCATGGGGCGGCGCGCTCAGTGCTGCCAGGGGTTGGGAAGCAGCTCTTCCGTATTTCAGGGTGTCAGGACAGGATTAGGCTCCCATCCCCGCCGGCTTCACCCTGTGCAAGAAGAATGGGGACAGGTGAAAAGATGACAGAAATGAGAGGCTTGGGGTTACGTGCACGGCCGGGCAACAACAAGGAGGTTCCACCCGCCACGCTGCCAAACAGGGACAGCAGAGGAACTGCCCTCACCCTGCCGAAGTGCCCCAGGGTGTCTGGCTGAGGGGGGGCCGTGCGGCTCCAATGCCAAGAAGCAGCAGAGATATCAGTATAGGACGTGCAGGCAGGCCCATAGCAGGAAGCCAGAGTTAGGCTGAGGGGCTGCGTTGGCTGCCTTTGGAGGCCAAGGGGGGCTCTGGGGCGGGAGGAGCTGCGCAGAGCAGCGCCCTGAGGCACAAATCCCCCACTCTGCGTCGGGAGTCCCAGTTTTCAGCCCACCCCGCGCCATGGGATGGGAACAAGGAAAATCCCGCTCCCCCTTGCAAACGTCCCCGTCCCCCCCCCCCCCAGAAGGCGCTCAGGGCCCAAGCTGAGCTCCGTGCTCGGCAGCCCCGATGGCGGGGACGCGGGCGGCACTTACACGGAGCGGAGCTGAGGGCGGCGGGGCCGCGGCCTGCGGAGCGCTCCGAGTCGGCCCAACTCCAACCTGTCGGACAGGTGGGCCGGGCGCAGCGGCCTCACCCAGGCGGGGCCGAGCCCATGGGCGCGGGGTGGGGCTCGGGGCCGGGCCGGGACTTCCCCGGGGTCTGACGGGCCCGGAGCGCCGCACGCGGCGCTGCTTTTCCCACTTCGCGGTTTTTTTGAGAGGTTTTTGAGGGTTTTTTCCCTCGGGTCTGTGGGAACGGAGGGCCCCGGCGGGCGCCCCGAGGGGCTGGGAGGCCTCAGGCGGCCGTATCCTGCAGGGTTCCGCCCGGGGCGCCCACAGCGAAACGCGGCCGCGGGAACGGGCGTCCGGCGCCTCGGCTCGACCCCTGAAGGCCGCGCCCATACCGCTCACGGAGTGACGCTGACGCAGCCGCCATCTTTGCCATCACTAAATATTGGCACGGAACTCTCGCGAGATGAAGCCCCGACGTGTCCGCCATGTTGCCAGCACTAAGTAATGGCGCGGAGCGAGCGGAGTTCTCGCGAGACGCCGCCGCATTTGTCCGGCGTTCCCCGTAATCTCGCGAGAGCTCCGCGGGGCAGGGGGCAGCGGCGCAGCCCTGGCGGCCGAGCGGGGCCGGCGGCCGCCGTTGGTTGGCGGCGATGGCGGCGGACTGGCGCTGCTGAGGGGACGGAGGGCAGCGCCGGGTCTCGGCTCCGCCGGGCGCCATGAGCCAGGGCGGAGGGACGGGCAGCGAGAGCGGAGAGCCTGAGGCCAAAGTGCTGCACACCAAGCGGCTGTACCGGTGAGGAGGGGGGAGAGGAAGGTCTGGGGCGTGGGGGGGGCGGGGGCTGAGGTTGGGGGGGAGGAGGTGGGAGTGTGAGGCCTGGGGGGCGGAAAGGGGGTAAGACCTGGGGGGGGGGGGGCGGGGTTGGGGAGTGCGGAGAGGGGGGCTGGTGGAAAATGAGGGGATTTGGAGGGATTTGGGGAGGGAGGAATGGGGAGATTTGGGGGTGGGGAGGAGGGGAGTGATTTAAAGGAGGTGGGGGGGAGAAGGGCAAAGGGTTTAGGGGAGATGTGGGAGAAGGGCTGTGGGGTTTAGAGGGGATTTAGGGGGAAAGGGTGGGGGGGGAAAGGAGAGAAAGGTGGGAGGTTTAGGGGAGGCAAAGGGGAAGGGGGATTTAGGGGAGGGGGGGGGGAAGAAGAGGGGATTTAGGGTGGGTTGCTGGAAAGGGAGGTGGGATTTAGGGGAGACGTTAGGGGAAAAGTGGGGGGGGGTTTGGGGGAGATGTGGGGGAAGGGAGTGGGGATTTAAGGGCGATTTGGAGTGAAGGAAATGTGCTGAGGGGAGATCTGGGATGTGGGGGAATGGGAGATGAGGGGTGGGAAGGGGGTGGAGGGGAGATGTGGGGGAAAGTGGGGAGGGGATTTCAGATAGGAGATTGGGGTGAGGGAACTTAAGGATGATCCGTGGGTCTGGGGGAGGAGATGGGGAGCGGGGGGGGGGGGGTCCTGGGGTGTGGGAAAAGAGGGAATATGGGGAGGGAGATGGAGGAATGAAGGACAGGGTTGGGGGAAAGGAGGAAGAAGGTAATGGGATTCGGGAGAGATCTGGAGGAGAAATGGAAGGTGATTGAGGGGAGATTGGGGTGAAGGGAACCGGGGTCAGGGGTGTGGGGAAGGAGGTTGGGAAGAATCCTGAGAAGACGAATGGGAACAAGGAGGTGGAGGGGAGAGCTGGGGAGGGGGATTCAGGTGGGGGAGGGAGCGGAGGAGGCAGCGGGATCCAAGGAAGGTGTGAGGGGTAATGGAGGGGATCGGGGTCCGTGGGGGACCTGGGGAGGTGGGTGAGGAAGGAGGATGCGATGGTGAATGGGGACACAGAAGGATGAGGGCAGGAGGTGGGGTGATGAGGGGGCTGTGGGCCTCCAGGTGGGCTCTGCTCTTTCGTCCTGCCCCGGTCCCTCTGTCAGTAAAGCAGCGCCGTGGTTGAGTTTCAGAGTGGTGTTGCGGTCTCAGGGATGAGCAAGGGATGGTAAAGGCAGGAGGCCTCTTCCAGCAGGGCCCGGTGGCTTTTGCTTGTTGATGTTGGGCTCGTCCTTCTGTTCCTTCCGTCCCACGTTTTGGTTTGATGCCTTCCTCGTGGCTCAGGCTCTGTTTTGCTCGCTGTTCCCCCTGGATGCTTCCTGGCGCACCTAAGAACGGTGCTGTAGCATCCCTGCCTGAGCAGTGAGGTGGTAGGATGAGGTGAGGGCTTTCCTACAGCAATCTTTGCCATTTAATTCTTTCTGGCTGGAGAAACCTCAGGTTTTACCCCGAAATCAGGCCATGTGGCCCCATCCCAGGATGTCGGGGCACAGAGGGATGCTCAAGATCAGTTTCTGCATGGCTGAGGAGCACCGGCCTGTTTCCACCCTCAGTTCTTTCAGTAGCCTGGTGCAGGGGAATAAGGCGTCTCTCTGGGCAGTTCTGCTGGCTGTTGAGAGATTTGGGCTGTTTGCAAAGGAGCTTTGGATCCCAGGAGAGCTGCAGGTGGGCAGCAGGCAGCCGAGTTGGCAGCAGAGCTGTGCGTGCTGCACTTAACTCTGCTCCTGGTTTTCTTCATCGTTGTTTCCCAAGAAGTTGGTGCAGCTCTGGGACGTTCAGTCATGGTGGTTTCTTCCCCAAGTTCCTCTTCTTCTGCTCAGTTCTGTGCCAACAGGGGAGATTTCAGATTGGCTGAAGGGCTTCCTGAGGTGTGGATGAGGTGCTGTGCTTTCCCTCTGTGAGTCTCCAATGTTTTGTGCCGGCTTGGTTTTCACACAATGGCCTGAGCTGAAAAGGACCCTCAGGATCACCTCATTTCATCCCTACTGTGTGCAGGGCCACCAACCAGCAGCCCGGGCTGCCCAGAGCCACATCCAGCCTGGCCTTGAATGCCTCCATTCCAGCCTCCCCATTGAATGCCCTGGGCATCCACAGCCTCCTTGGGCAGCCTGTTCCAGTGCGTCACCACCCTCTGTGTGAGGAACTTCCTCCTAATATCCAGCCTAAATCTCCCTGTCTCACTTTAACACCATTCCCCCTCGTCCTGTCGCTGTCAGCCCGTGTCAGCAGCCGTTTCCCCTCCTGTTTATACGCTCCCTTGGAGGACTGGATGGCCGCAGTGCCTTCTCCCCACAGCCTTCTCCTCTCCAACCTGAATGAGCCCATCTCCCTCAGCCTCCCTTCCCAGGAGAGGTGCTCAGCCTGCTGCTCGCCTTTGGGAACCCATCCCAACGCTTCTGCGTCCTTCTTGTGCCAGAGGCGCTGATCGCAGCCCTCCGATCACAGCCCACCTCAACCCATCAAACAGCCCATCCTCCCAGTGCCCGATGCGGAGGGCAGGATGTGGTCGGGGTCCACGTGGAAGCTTTGCAGAGCTCCAGGTAGGTGACATCCACCTATCTGATGCCCTCAGTCCATCGCAGAAGGCTGCCAGGTGGGTCAGGCAAGGTCTGCCCCTCAGCGCTGCACGTCTCTCATCTCCTGTGTGCCTCAACGTGGCAACCAGGAGGAGCTGCTCCACAATCCTCCCTGCACGCAGGTGAGGCTCACCGGCAGGTTAGGACTGCAGGGAGGGGGCAGCACGCTGCTGCCTCTTGGCCCCCTGCCCCCCCCCCCCCCCACCAGCACCCCAAGGTTCTGCAGGCTTCAGTGGCTGCGCACGGCGTGTCCTAAAGGAGGAGGCAGATGGGGACGGTGTGTGAGGAGTGGGCTTTCTGCCCTCAGGCATGGGCTGGGTGCTGCCCACTTGGCTTGAGGAGCTCGTTGGACATCTGGTGTCGGATTGTTGTCGTGTTCCTCTGTGCTGGGTGTCACCCCGAGGTCTGCAGCAGCTCGGCAGAGGAGGACCTGGGGGTCCTGATGGACGAGAGACTGAACATGAGGCAGCAGTGTGCTCTGGCAGCTCGAAAGGCAAATGGGATCCTGGGCTCCATCAGGAGAGGGGTGGTCAGCAGGGACAGGAGGTGATCGTCCCTCTCTACTCGGCTCTTGTGAGGCCCCATCTGGAGTCCTGTGTCCAGGTGTGGAGCCCTCAGTACAAGAAAAACAGAGAGATTTTGGGAAGGGTCCAGAGGAGGGCGACTGAGATGAGCAGGGGGCTGGAGCACCTCCCCTATGAGGACAGGCTGAGGGAGTTGGGCTTGTTCAGCCTGGAGAAGAGAAGCTGCGGGGTGACCTCAGTGCAGCCTATCAATACCTGAAGGGAACCTACAGCCAGGAGGGGAGTCAACTCTTCAGAAGGGCTGACAACAGCAGGACGAGGGGAAATGGATCCAAGTTGAAGGAGGGAAGATTGAGGTTGGATGTTAGGGGGAAGTTCTTTAACAGGAGAGCAGTCAGGCCCTGGAACGGGCTGCCCAGGGAGGTTGTGGATGCCCCGTCCTTGGCCGTGTTCAAGGCCAGGTTGGACGGGGTCCTGGGCAACCTGATCTGAATGTGGATGTTTGGTGGCCCTGCTGGGCAGGGGGTTGGAACTACATGATCCTTGAGGTCCCTTCCAACCCAGGTGATTCTGTGATTCTGTGCAGTTGCAGAATGGAAGGCGTTGGGTGGCGCGTGAGCTGCCGTCCTCCATCGAGAGCAGGAATTGGTGGAGGCGCCTTCCCCCGTCATGACGGTTGTTAGAAACGATTCCTTCTTTAGCCTCCCAGCACAACTGAGTGTGCACACGTGTAGCGTGTTAATTAATTGCTGAGCTTGGAAGTCGTTAGTGAGCCCGGGGGCCTTTGGGGAGGGTGGGCACCGAGGAGCAGACAGGCCGATGTCGCAGCCGTGGCGAAGCAGCCGACCCAAAGCACGAAGCTTCCCTCGGTGCAGCTGTGCTCTGTTCTTCCCCCCGGAAGCTTTTCGAAGTCGAATGCACGAAGCCCAAGGAGGCTGTGGATGCCCAGGGCATTCAATGGGGAGGCTGGAATGGAGGCATTCAAGGCACGAAGCGATGAGCGCAGGGCGGTGGGGAGGCGGCGGGAGGGGGGGGGAATTCACACCTGGGGAATCATGGCAGCAAAATGCGCTGTGCTGTCGCTTTGCAGAGCGGTGGTGGAGGCCGTGCATCGCCTGGATCTCATCCTCGGCAACAAGGCAGCGTACCAGGAGGTGTTCAAGCCCGAGAACATCAGCCTGAGGAACAAGTAGGTTGGGCAGGGAGCTCGGGGTGGTGCTGTGTGGGGCTGCCGTGGCTGAAGGCGCCGTTCCCTGCTGTCTGCCAGGCTGCGGGAGCTGTGCGTGAAGCTGATGTTCTTGCATCCTGTGGATTATGGCAGAAAAGCGGAAGAGCTGCTCTGGAGAAAGGTTTACTATGAAGTTATCCA